TTTTCTTTCTTTGCCCTGGTTCCTTCGTTCTTTCTTTCTTTTCTTTTCTTTTGCAACGATTCTTTCTTTCCTTCTTTCTTTCTTCGCCACGATTTCTTCTTTTTTCCTTTCTTTCTTTGCAACGATTTTTCTTTCTTTCCTCACTATGGATCATTCTATCTTTATTTCTTTTTTTTGCCACAGTTCCTTCTTTCTTTCTTTATTTCTTCACCACGTTTTGTTTTCTTTCTTTTTTCTTTCTTTTTTTCTTTCTTTGCCAGGGTTCTTTCTTTCTTTGTTCCTTTCCTTCATTTGCTCTTTACCATGGTTCTTTCTTTCTTTCCTTCGTTTGATCTTTACCATGGTTCGTTCTTTCTTTCTTTTTTTCTTCGCCACAGTTCCTTCTTTATTTATTTATTTATTTATTTATTTCTTCGCCACGGTTTCGTCTTCATTCCTGCATTCATTCATCCTTCCTATCTTTCTTTCTTTCTTTCTTTCTTTCTTTCTTTCTTTCTTTCTTTCTTTCTTTCTTTCGTGTGTTCTTTGCCATGGTTCTTACTTTCTTTTCTTCGTTTGCTTTTTGCCATGGCTCTTTCTTTCTTTCTTTCTTTCTTTCTTTCTTTCTTTCTTTCTTTCTTTGGTTTGTTCTTTGCCATGGTTCTTTCTTTCTTTCTTTCTTTATCGCGGTTCTTTCTTTCTATTTTTATATCTTTCTTTCTTTATCGCAGTTCTTCCTTTCTTTCTTCCTTTCCTTCTTTGTCATTATTTTAATAGCGCAGTTCTATTCTCCTTTTTCGTATTTATATAGGATTGATTTCAATAAAATGGTTCTTTTTTGGAAAGAAACGTGTCCCCACAAACTTTGCCGTTTTAATTTTTATTTACCCATTATTATTCTAATATATATTATATTCTTTTCAAAATATATATGTGAAGGTGGATCAATAGCTCGATATGATGTTATTTATTGAATAAAGAAAAAATTATGTTGAAAAATAAATATTTGTTTTGTAAAAAGTAAAATAAATGCATTTGTTAGGTTTCAGATTTATTTATGTACTTACGTACATAAACAAAATATATGCTTTCACATACGTGCCTACACACAGCCACATATATATATATATATATATATATATATATATATATATATATATATATATATATATATTAGACGCACCTAACAAGCGACCTACCTCAGTGTGTCGTCTGTCTCCAAAAGTATGTGTTGAACAAAGATATCGGTCACGATTTCCAGTAGCCAGTCCCTTATAAAAGAATTCAACTTCGTATATTCGGCTTATAACTCAGACAGAGTAGTCATGGCTTCCATTGGTAAGTAAACCATAATTTATTTCAATTTTTCAATACTGTATTTATTTTTAACTACTTAAGACTAAATTGTTAGAATTTACTTTCAGGCTTATCTTGGATGTTAGAATTGCGATCTGAACGATAGAGGTTTCAATTTTTGAAAAGAACCTAAAAAAGTCCATCCAGCCTCTTAAATCAATCCAAAAGCGTCGTAAACTATTGGAAACATTAACACGTAAAATCCACAATACCTACATAGGCATTATAATTACTTGAAACTACACAAGAAAAAAGAATCAATAGTTGGTTCCAGGCCCGGTGCAAGGGTCTCCTGCAACCCCCAATCTATGATACAGCTCCAGTCAAATCCCCCCACTTTACTACATTTCCATGAGGTAGTATTCATATATTCATTTTCTAAGCGCGGGTTAGATGTGGCACAAGGCCGAAAGTATTGGATACCCAGTGAGGATCGAACTCACTACTCAGTCGTAATTGATCTAGAAAGTCAATCTTTCTAATCATTACACCACGTTGAGGCTCCCAAGGTAGTATTCATATAAAATACAAATTTTATTGTAACCTAATTATGTACAATAATGGATCATATGCAATATAGGGGAACAATTTCAACTAGAAAAATTGAAAATAAATACAATGTATCTAAATACAAATTAAAGACATGTCATAATAGATCATTCCATCTTAAATAAATCAAGAATGCTTTGTGGTAATTTTTAACAACACCTTGACAATTTTCTTGTTAAAAAGTTGAATAATTTTAACACATTCAACATTATGGCTAAAAAAAATAGTGAATTTTATATAGTGTTTTTTTCGAGACTTAGCATGAACAAAACAAATTGACGGATTTGGACAAAAAAACAAAAACAAAAAAAAAAACACCAAAAAAAAAAGTAAAAAAACAACAACAAAAAATCCCACCTAGAATGACACGAAAATTCGCGAAAATTTTTATACTTTAATAGTCAGTTGTGTTTAGTTTAATTTGTAACGTATATAAATAAAGATAGAAAAAAGCAAATGTTAATATGACAGCGAGGGTCACAAAGCATTGCCCGGGACACCCGTGGGTGGGGTAGTATTCACCGGCCCTGGGTGGTTAGTATTAAAACCGAGCAAAGAATCATAAATCTCACATTCAAAATAAGAAAAAAAAATAAGAAAAAAAAAGAGCCTCGTCGGCTAGTAATGGTTAACAAGCTAGTGTCGAAAAATGTTTGAGTACTCCAAAATTGTTGCCTGGTCTCCTTTTGTAAATAAGTGTTGAAAGTTTCATTAAAGTTGAATTATT